TGTGATTTTCGTGAGCTTGCGCTTGTACTTTTTTATAAATTAAATTAAGTGAAAGTTCATATTTTACAACATATGTGATTTTTATGAGCTTTCGCTTATACTTATTTTAGAAATTAAAATTTTTGAAAGCTCATATTTTCACGTTAAATATACAAACATATGTGATTCATAATTTTATAGTATCTTCTTTGTATTTATACAGTGCTTCAATCAAGCTACGCGTTGTAAATTACGCATACAAAGCTGCGCTTTTCTTCACAAGTTTTACGTTTTTGTTTTTTCTACATTCATATTGAGGGCTTCAAGAATTTTGTTACTGAGAAATTTTTCAAATCATACTATATTTTTAATACAAACACAAATACATATAAAAAGTAACTAAATTTAAAAACGTTCATTTCAATAACTGCTCATGTGTAGTAATTGGAAAGCTCCATGAGCGAGCTTTTGAGCAATGGAAAAAGCAGTGGAAAAAGCTCACTAAAAGAGCTTTCACATATAGTTAGTGTGCTTTCACCATAACACTATTTCTTCTTTATATATGCGACTGTGTGATATGTGGGCTGGTAAATGTATGCGTGTGAATGGTTGTGTGTGCTGGTGAGTGTTGAATTTATTCACAATGAATTTTGTAACGCATGCAAAATTTGTTTTTTATGAAATGAATGATAATGGGAAAATGAAAACGAATTTTTTTCATACAACTAAGGAATAAAACCAAAAATTGTTTTTTTTTGTTTTTTATTGTTTTCATTTCGTGATATCTTTTATTTTTATTTCATTTGGATTTTTATATCATTTAACGTTTACTCAAATAACAATGGCTTAGGCTAAGTCGCTTCTTGTTTTATCTTCTTTGTTATAATTAACGGTTTATTTAATAATTAATTAACATTACAAATTCATCGTGGCGATTGTTGTTGGTGTTGTGTATGTATAGATAAGTAGTTGGTGTGAGGCGTGTTACTTGGAAAAGTGTGTACGTTTCTTGGGGACATGTGTGTGTGTGTGGTAGAATTTTGAATTTTTTTATTTTTGGTTTAAAAAAAATTTTTTTTTTAACAACATTTAAATTGTTTTTTTTTTTTGGGAATTTTTGTACCCAAATAACACAAGACAAATAAGCTAAAAAATATCAAAATATTTTCGCTGCTTATTATTAACATGAAAGTTTTTTATAAAGCAAAAAGTAGTAATTTTAAAAATATTCTCTTTTACAAAAAATAAGTAAATATAAACATAATAATAGACATAGAAAATACGTGGCATGAAAGAAATTAAAGTTTTTAAATACTTTAAAAATATATGCGCTGCTTGCAAACTGTTTTGCTGGCGCACATAACAGTTATTTTTTAAGATAAAGGTTTTTAAACGAACATTTTTTTTAACAAATTGAAAACATAAGCTAGTTGTATGGAATGTTTTAGCGTACACAAACATTTTCCTTAGCAAAATAATTAATAAAAAATACAAATTAATTAATAGAGACGTTTCGAAAGCTACTTTTTATGCGCACTTACACTTTTTTTTAAGTTCAAAGAAATATGGTTACAAAAAAAATTGCGCGCAAATTATATAAAAAATATGTATATATTTACGCACGAAATTATTTAAATTCTTTAATATGCTTAATTTTGAGATCTTTTTGTCACGACTTGTACGCACTTCAATGCTTTTAGGCGCCAATAGTTAAGCTTTTCTAAAGCTTTCATAATTTTTATGCAAATATTGAAGCTTTTCTAAAGCTTTCATAATTTGTAATGCCGCAATATGTTTGTTAAAAATTTTTTTAGCAATTGCCATTTGCTTTTAATTATGTTTTCGCTATGCACACAATATTTTTGTTCATTATTTTAAATTAAATTTTTATTATTTAGTTATTACTAATTTATTTTTATAAGTTTGCCTAAAAGTTTAATTTTGCATAAAAGGCCGAAAATCACAATTTTGTTTTTCTTTCATATATATATATATATATATATATATACATATATATTGAATTTTTATTTATATACATATAAGTATGTATATCATTTATATTTATTAGGTTACCTTAGCTTTGCATTGCTTGCCTAAATTTAAAATTTAAATTTTTTTTTATTTTATCAGTGTGTTGGGTTTGTGCATTGGTTTTTTGTTTTTGCTTTAAGTCTACAGGTTATCGCATTGATTTCGAATTAAAAAATTTTTAACATCACATTTTCGCTTTTCTCTTTAATTATTATTATTATTTTTTAAATATTTATCATAAATTTAATACTGCCTAAAAAATTTGGAAAAATTATAATATATTTGTATAGTTTATAAAATGAGAGAGAAATTATAATAATTCTAATTATGCTAAAATGTATTTATTTTACACACATTCAATTTGAATTTTCATGAATGTAGTTTTTAACACTATCACAGCCAAATTGTTTATCCAAAAGTTGTTGCCGAAAGGGGGTTTCACGCGTGTTTACTTGATTTTTATGTAATTTGGTTTTTTATATTACTAATATACTTCTTCTTCTTCTTTTTTGAATTTAGAATTTTGAATTTTGCCTAAGGTTTGTTTTTCCATCCGTGTATATAGGTATGAAAGCTTAAATTTAACGAGACTCTAGTCGCGCAATATTCATTTAAAAAAAAATTGTAAAAAAAAAGTGCGTGCAGTGCGTTAAAAAGTAGCTTTTTGAAGTTTCAATGACGCCTCAACATTAAAATTTTTAAGAAAGTAATGTTCGCTATATTTGCGATGCTGCAGCAGTGGCGCTGAATAGATAAGCTTAATTCCTTTTTATAACAATTTCTTTGCAATTGTTTTTTTTTTTGGTTTTTTCCTTTTATGATTATTATTATCTTTTATTACCTTACACATACGCGTTTCACCATTTCATCATTATTTAATACGATAAAAATTTTGAGATCTTTTTTAACACATTTTTATTGGTTTACACCTTAATTATTCAACGCCAGTGAATCAGCATCTGGTTTAACTGTTATGCACGCCAGCGAAATTAAAGAAATGTATTACGTATTATAAAAAAAATTTATATATAATATTTTACAAGAAATAAAAAATTTAAGATGTTAGCAGCTTTTTTAATTTGGCATAACGGGACAAGGCGAAAAATGGCAACGTAATTTCAAAATAAAGTTTATAAAATCTATAAGTGATTTCTTACCCCAAACTTTGAAGAAGGTAATTTGTGTTTTATTTACTTCGCCAGCCTTACTGCATACATTTACGCAAAATAAGCGATTTTATCGGTTTCATTACAGGAAAGTCTTGTTGAAGGAAAGCTTTTGTGAAAGCACCACTTAAAACGTCAAGTAAAAGTTTCCATGCAGGTTTTTAGAAGTGTTCAAAGCACTCAAAAGTTATGGTTTCAATAGAAAACTTAATTGAAAAGCTTTGAAAAAATTAAATGTTTGTTATATAAACTTAAAAAAGTTTAAAAAGCTCCCAAAAAATATTCAGTCCTTAGATTTTGTGAACAAATTATTATATCTGAGGTCAAAAAATAAAAAAAAGCTTTATGGAAAGCTTTTAAAAATATGAAAATTTTTTAAGCTTTCATGAGAACGCAAAAGATACTTGCTTACATATGGGCTCTTAATTTATTGAAAGCTAGTTAAAAGCAATACTTTTTTATTAACAAAAGCGCCGGTACTAAATAGAGAATAAAAACTTGAAAAATAAGTAGTTTTTAAAACTTTTAACAATAAGTCATAAAAGTCCCGGAACTAATAGTATAATTAAAATTTAAAAAATAAACCACTTTTAAGACTTTTATTATATTTTCAAAGAATACCTACAATTTTCAGAAAATGAAATATTGGTTGAAAATTTGAAATATATTAAATTAATATTCATTGTATTTTTAAAATATTACACTTAATGTGAATTGTACAGAATGTAAAAGTGAAAATCAGTTTTGAAAACTAAAAAACTTAAGTTTCAGAGCTTAATTTTTGTTAAAGTGTGAAAGTCTATTCCAAATGAAAAATTTATGTGAAAGCTCAATTTAAAAGTTTTTTGCCTGTAAGCGTAAGCTTGGGAGCTATTTCAGTTTATATGGCGCTACCCTTTAAGTAGAATATCGCGTGTAAGCTTATTAAGCTTTCATTTTTAGCGCTTAAATGTATGCAGTAAAACCGTTTAAAATGTTGGCCTTCTTTAAAAATTTTACATTAAAATCAAAAAAGCACAAATTATGCTAAAAGAAATTTTTCCTATAACATTGAATTTAGTATTTTAAGCCCTCAATACAAAATAACATATTTTAACAAAACAAATAGAAATAATTTTCATATAATATAAGCAAGTCAAAATTTGTTGTTGCTTTTCTTTAGCAGTATCTCTTAGCAGGGGTTACTATATTGACAGTGGGACCTGTGTACATATGTATGTATGTATTGTGCAAGACTTATATATGCATTTGTTTTTTATGTATGTGTGTATATATTTAAATTATCGAAAGTTTTTTATTGTTTTTTGCCTAAAAATGTTTTTTTTTTCTAAACTTTTCTTGCTAAATCTTTTCATGCTCGCTATTACTAAAGTTTTTAATATTTTTGCTTGTTCTTGTTTTTGCTTTTACCTAAATAGAAATTTTGTATGCACTTATACATTGTTTTTTTTACAATGTATAATTTTGTTTTTGTTTTTTTTCTTTTTTTTGTTTTACTTTAAATATGTCTGTTTGTGTTAACTTTTTGTCTCACTACCTTATAGAATATGCTTTACATAAAAGTACATATGTATGTATATATATAAATATTTTTGTTATATAAACTTTAGATAATTTGTTAGTTTTATTAATTTTACACAATTTGTAAAAAGCCCAAATTATATTAAGAAAAAATTAGAGAAAATTTATATGTACATACAAATCGAATAAATATATGCACTTATTTATGTATTTATTTGTATACAGAGAAAGTAGAAGTAATGTTTTCTCTTGTTTATATTACACAGGTTTGTGTAATTCTAAAGAATATAAAAAGAATAAACATAAAGTGTTAATTTTTTCAACTTATATTTATGCCAAAGTGCCGCAAAAGTATTATCTTTTACACTTTTATTATTAAGATTACAATATATATTGTTGTTTTTGTTGTTTTCTATGCATAACTGTTAGCCGAAAGCGTTCTAAATAAAATAACTGTGCATGTGTGCAAGTATCTGTGTGTTTATCTGTGTGGTGTGTGTGTTTGAGTGTGGGTATTAAGTTTTATATTTAATTTATATATATATATATATGTATATATAGTATATACATATAAGCCGAAATATATGTATATAAAGCTAATTACGCCTGTCCGCAAGTACTATTTATGTGGCCTGTTGTGATCCTTCGCCTTGCTACTAGCGTGCTCTACATACAAAAACAAAGCATAACATTTTATAGAACTACGCGCATGCGCTCATTTGCCTTTTGTCTTCCATTTCTAGCTGACTGCTTTCCTACAAATGCGCTCTATAACATTACTCACTTGTTTGTGTACGCTTCTACGGTATTTGCATATTTATGACATTTTTTTTCTTGCCTCTTTAACTGTTTTATGCTGAAACTGTTACGCCTTTTTTTTACTTTTATGCTTATAATATTTTCAGAATTTTATTTATTTTATTTTGGTTTACTTGTTTATTTTTTGTGTTGTTGTGTTCATTTCCATCGATTTTTTATGTATAGTTTTTAAATTGTTTTCTTCGTTTTATTCTTTATATGTATGTATTTTATAAATATCGTTAAGATCACAGATATTCTCTATGCAATAAATTTTCTGTTTACTTTTTATCGCTCTCGCTCTCTTCGGTTGTCTGCTCTGCCTCTTTAACGCCAACTAATTTAAGTTTCACATTTTATCGCTTGCTTGCTGACCCTAATTTTGCTCAGTGTCTTTTCTCTGCTATTCTACGTCGCCTTTTCTACGTAATTTATTAAGCTTTATAGACATTTTTGTCTCCTTTTAAGTGTTTGTTTTTTATCTCTATTTTGCCTTAAAATTCTGCACAGTCCTTTTTGAAATACTTATCTACACTTTCCTTTCATTTTCTAACAAACTACATTTACATACATTTTTATCGCTCATAATTTTTTGCTTTCATTGAAATTTTTTATTTAATCCTGTTATTTTTGAGTCGTTTAGTGTTGTTATTGTTTTTTGTTTTTAATTTTCTTTGGGGTTATGTTTGTATGCGCTCGTGTTGTATATGCACATGTGTGTCCATTGGGTTGAGTTTTTGTATTTTCGTCAAAGTAAAGAAGTCAATATCGGGTAATAAAAAACTAGTGAAAAGCTTTGGTAAAAGCTTTATATAAAAGTACATAGTTTTGTTTGTCTGAACTATAAGATATTTTCAAAATGTATTAAAAGCTCACTTTGGCTAGTATTTAGTTCTATTGAAAGCTCTTAAATGAAAAGATTACTACATACATACATATGTAGGTAAAGCTTAATTAAATACTTATCAAATTACTCATTGCAGTTAAGGTTATTGTTGTTGTAAACAATTAAATATATATATATAATAATTTATTTTGCCAATTGAACTTGTCTGCAAAGATTTTTAATTCTCACACAAAAGCTCTTAGAAATCATATCTTGAAAGCTTTACAAATTTAAGCAAGGAAGTGTGTTAAAAAAAAATTGATGATTTTTTTTAAATTAATATATTGAAAGTTTAACAAATATTAGAAATAAAGCTAGCTTGAAAAAAATTTAAAGTCATCATACAAAAAACTATTTTTTTAAAGCTCCAATTTTAGCAACGAAGTTTGTTTGAAAAGATTTTGGACATGACTTTTTCTGAATTATGAAGTCCTCATACAAAAGCTTTTAAAATCCATATTTCGAAAGCTTCATAAAATAGAAAAATAAACATTGGATAAAAAACTCAATATTTCTAAAGCTTTACAAGTTTTATAAATGAAGCTTCTTAAAAAAAATGTTTAATGGAAATAGTTTGAGCAATAAAATTCTCAGCCGAAAGTTCTTATAAATATGAAAGCTTGCGAAATTCACCGCATCGAAACTTCAAACGATAGCTTTCATTAGCTTAGAAAAACGCCTTCAGAGAAAAATGGGTTAATACGAAGCTTTTAAATAATTGTGACTTTATAAAAAAGCTCGACAGGCAATTTTGGAACTAAAATTCATGAGCGAGCATTTCTTTAAACTTTGAAATTAACAGTTGAAACTTGTTTGTTATATCTTTATAAAAAAGTATAAAACATACGAATAAGAGCTTTTTAAGATGTTACTCAAACATAAAAATTTCAAGTTTAAAAATTTGAATATGTATGGGAGTGCTTCTCACACTGTGAAAAGCACTGAAAGCACTGGTTTTGAAGGCTTCAAGGCTTTTAATATTTTTGTATATAAATTATTTGCAAAATTTTTTATAGCAATAAGGCAAATTTCTTTTATTGTTTTTAGAGCTTTGGGAAGTATGTAGAATTTAGAGCTTTCATTACAGTTTTTTGATAAGGTAAGCTTTGGCAATTTTTCAAAGACCTTTTAAAGATAGAATATATATGTATGTATTATACACCAAATCAAATTTTGTATATCCATTCTATGGAAGATATAATTTAAAATGAGCTTTCAATAAAACCTTTACTATGTCATATAATTCTGCAAAGTATTATTTTTGTAGGCAATCATTTTTAATTTGTAACTCGCTGTTCTTCTATGCAAAATAAGTGTGTGTACGTTTGTATTGACGTTTCGTGTTTCATTCTATATAAGTTTGTAGTTTATTAGCACCAATTGGTTATTCTATTGTAACTGTAATTGTTGTGTTATTGTTGTTGTAAAAAGCTCATAATGCTCAACTATGTTATTGTAAAAAAGTCCATCGTACTGTAAGTTGGTTTTTCCAATGCCATTTATTACTTTTTGTGTATATTTCGTACCTATGTAATTTATAAAACTGTATATATGTATATTATATGTTACACTTAAGTATTGACTATAACTGTTATAAAAGAAAACCGGTATTGAAAAATTTAACAAAAACGGTAACTGCAATTCCTATTGAGAAGCTAGAGCTTTCAAACCCAAGTCTTGTTTCCAAGAATGTTGGAAAATCGAACGTAAACTACGCGTATGCGCATAAACAACCATGACTTTGCTGAATTATCGCTATAAAATCTAATATTTACTGTTATTTGTGTCGCTGTGCTGCTATATATGTATGTATTTATCTGTATATATATTAGCGATATTGTAAACGATAATTATTTGGGTTTGCTTTGAAACATAACTACATACATATGTAAGTGCATATGTATTGAAGGATTATATGTTTAACTCAGTCACCCACAAAGGTGAGACCGTTTCTATATATGTGTGTATGTATATTTGTTTGTTATACATATCTATATAAAAAAAAACGGATCACATGAGATCTTGCAAACGCTAGCATATGCGTTGCAGCTAACGGTTAATTGTGAAAAATTAATATTATTTACATACATACACAAGCATGTGTATGTACGTATATATTTCTTGTATTGCAATATGTAACAAAAACCATATAATACACATTATTTAACTGTACAATGAAAGCATAAGTAACATGAAAAAAAAATCTAGCTTGAAAAATTCTCAACTCATTTCCTGTTCCTTCTAAATTTGGGCGCTCTATCAACCAAGCTTTGTCTGCTTTGTAATAAAGTGAAAACTTTGCTCTCTCACTCTTTCACGACACTCTCTCTCGTACTTTGTCTCTTTCTCTCTCTGTCCGTAACCTTCTTATATTCATTTCGTTCTCTCTCAGCTTCCCATTTTGTAATTCTCTTAGAACTACTTGCTTTCACTTAAAATTTAAAGTACACATTCAAATGTAGTTTAATAAAATAGATTACTAATTAAGAAATAATAATATGACTTGTATAATGTATGTATGTCTGTCTGTAAAAGCGCAGCTCCATAAGCAACGGCTCTCTCTCTATTTCATTTGCTACTCTCCTACAGTTGCAGAATTTAGGACTCACTATTTCATATACTCACACACATATGTTAGTATGTATGCATATGTTTATGTATTGAGCGAAAACTGGACAGCTTGCTCTCTTGCCTGCTTGAAGCAAACGATATTTCACTCTCGTTTTGCAAGCATGAGTTCTCTGGCTAGTATCGCTCGCTCATGCTTTACGCTTTGCTCACTAACGCTATTTTCTTAGTGTCATATAACTTGCCTGCTCAACACACTCTGTACACAAATCCTATTTGTAAAAAATGCAATTAAAATTTTGCATTTACGCTTAGCGTTTAATTTTAGCTTCGCTCCTAACCTAAAATTTCTACACTGCACTCACTATTCGCTTTCGCTTGTCGCTTGCGTTAATTATTATTAATTTTTACAACTATTTTAAATATTATATATATATGCATGTATATATATGTATATATATATAGATATATATTGGTTTTTCATGTATATACTTGTATGTTTGTATATAATGACAATTTTTACTTATTTTAACTTTAGCTTTCTCCACGTGCATCACTTACTCTTCCTCTCAAATAACGGTATGTGTATATAACTGTAAGTGTTTTTATGTGCATGCATATGTGTTGCTTCTCAGCTTGTCTCTTTCATATGTATCATTATATATGTGTCTCTTTTTCACACACTCTTACTACCACTTATTCTCTTGTGTATATGTATGTATGTATTTACGTTACAAATATGTATAAGATAAGTATATAATTGCTGCTGTTTGTATGCTCATGCAGACTTTTAGTTTTACTAGGTTGTTTTTGTATTTTTTTTTACTTTTTGTTTTCTTTAAATAAATTATTAAGTGGCATCACTCTCTGCGCTTAGCCACAAAATTCTTTGTCGTCGAGGTTTGTCATCGATTACTTTATATTTATGTTTGTTTGTTTGTATTTTAGCAAAGTCGGCACTGCTTCACCTGCATCATCTTCTTTATGGTGTCTTGATCATGATCTTACAAGCGGACCTCGCCAATATCGGTCCCTGCTAGCTATGTATAGATCACGATCGCTCATCGTCAGTTGTAGTAATTATAATTATTATTATCCTGTATGTTGTAGTTGTAGTAGTAATAATAATAGTAGTAGTTTAGTAGCAAACTAAAATCGCTTCACTATTGTGGTAGTTCATCCTTTGTGTCGACAGGGCTTGGTGAGAGATATTTGCGCACATACTTGGGAAAATGGGTTTTCTCGTGCGCCTTGAGTATGGTTGAGCGTGAGAAGGTCTTCCCGCACATGTGACAGCGGAAGGGTCGTTCACCTAACGGGTGAGATGTCATGGTTGGAGCGCGGAACGATGAAATTAATGAATATACAGTTAAAAAGATTATCTTAAAGACTATACGGTGCTTAACTGAAGCAGAAACGGAGGGAGTTATAAATATGTTGAAGTAATCAACATAGTGTTTAAGCTTTCATTAGCAAATAAAATGTTTTAACATTATTTCAATCCTTGAAAGTAATTCGAGAGAAGAATTTTTCCTCTAATTATGATCTCTCTTCACACCAATCGGCTTAACTTCTCAAACGATAAGACCATGAAATTAGCCCGACCGATAGATAAACACTTTGCTCGTGAACGCTTGCAAGTATAACGTTAACAGCAACATTGACAGTAGCGTGAGTTTTCTCCAGTTCATTCCACTAAGGTTTCTTAGGTCTCTCAAAATTCTCTCTCCCCAAACTTTATTGGAATACTGAGAAGAAGACCTGCTAAAGAGAACTACTTCCGAAAATGCTTTTATATCTGTCGGCTTCAGCACAATTTCGGCTTAGAATGAGATCAGAAGACGATCTTCTTGAAATCCAGACATTTTCAGCTAATTTTGAATTAATGAAAGATCTGGTAAAGCCATAAAGAACAAACAACTAATAGTTAAGACCGGTAAAAGACTTAGAAGCTTATCATTTGGAATACGTTTCAGGGCTTTTGAACACCTAATAGAGTGACGAACTTAATTTTACGATTACGTCTACATTGACTTTTCGCTTTTCTAAAAAAAAATCTTCTCATTCTTAAATTCTCCTTTTCCACTGAACTCTCGTTTCTACTTCTGTTGCGCATTGCCGCTAATACTGCATTCAATAAATATTTGGATAAATAGTGTACTTACCCGTGTGGACGCGACAATGGTCTTTCATATGATGGCGCAGCTTGAACGCCTTGCCACAGAACTCACATTTAAATGGTCGTTCGCCCGTATGCACCGGCAGATGCCCGATCAACACGTGGACATCGGGAAAACTTTTGCCACAAAATTTGCACAGCACAACGCCATTCGGATCGGCGCCACTCGATGAGGCGCCCAACAACGAGCCCGATGTCGACGACGAAGCAGCCAATGCAGCTGCGGCCGCTGCCGCCGCCGCTGCCGATGTCGAAGAAGACGACGAACCAGCGCCGCTCAATACCATACCGCCACTACCCGCTGACGAGCCACTAATGCCGCTATTACCTGTTGCCGAACCGCCACCAACACCACCGCCGTGGCCAAGTCTGCCACCACTGCCGTCGAGATCGAGTGCGCTACGCGCACCAACACTACCGCATGTGGCCGCCAGCTCCATAGCGGCAGCCATAACAGCGGCAGCTGCCTGTTGTTCCTGAGTATCGGCGCCGCTAGCCGCCAATGCGGCGGCATTCATTTGGTACGTGGTAAATTGTGGCAACTGCGCCAAATTGAGGTCGTGCGACAGCAAATGCGAATGCAAGAGCGGATGCTGTGCGGTCTCGCGATACTCCAGCGTTTTTAGCGAATGCGAGAGTATGTGTCGCGTTAGCTTGCTTTGGTGCTGGAATGTGTGGCCGCAATATATACACTGATAGAGGGGCGGCGGTGTTTGCGATTGGTCAAGACCGTGAGAGGTGGAGGCGGCCGACGCAGCAATGGCTGCGGCAGCGGCAGCGGCCGATGTGGAACATGCGACATTGCCGCCACCGCCAGCGCTAACCGAAATGCCGCCAGCAGCAGCAACGTGCGGCGAATCGGACGTTTCCTGGAACAACACCAAACAAAAATCCAACATCAACTTCTTTCGTACTACGCTTTGGCGTTACTTTGCATTACAGTTTTTTACTTTTTTACTTTTTTACTTTTTTATTTGACTTTTGTATTTGCTTTTGTTTTACTTTGTGGTTTTGCTTTTCTTTTGTCTACATTACGTTTTCGCTTTGTTCGGTTTCAATTGAATTGTTTTTGAATTGAATTAAAAAAACACAACGCTCGTGTTAAAGTTTTATAAAAATTATGTAAAAAAAATGATAAATAGTATTCGATTGCTTTTCTTCGTTTTCTTTGTCTTTGAGAAAATATATATAAAGTTACACTTAAGTGGCATTACATTCTCGGAATAGTTTTCTCATTTTTCGTTTGTTGCAAATAATTTCAAAATTAAAGTGAGGAGAAACAAATTTATAAAAGTGAAGTTTCATAAAAAATATATAAATGTATGTTAAAAAGGAGACTGTCTTTAGTAAGTATGAAAAGAAGTGCGGTGCTGCCACACTTTCTCAATTCAAAATGGCAAATTAAAAGCAACGATATTAAAAACTCAAATGAATCAAATGAGAATGAGAACTCAAAGAGGAAAAGGAGAAGATGGAAAATTTTCAGCAATATTTAATTTTTATTTTATTTTTTTTTACCAACTATTTTGGACATAACGAATTTTTCAAAGTACAAAAATCAAATTTAGAAATTATGCTTTATGACACTCTAAAATACTTTAAAAAATATACGTTTTTCAAATCAAATCTACTGAAAATTATTTGTTAGCTGCAGTTTTAAAATATTTTTTTTATAATTATTATTTTATAAATATGTTTGTGTTGCCAAAAAACAAGAGGGGCTTTTCAGCGTCGACTTTGCAGCACGCTTGCCACTTACAACGTTTACTTTCTGACGCTTTGTGGCTATTTAAATTCTCTCTTTTCAACACTTTTTCTCATTTTCTCTCTATTTTTGCATTTAGCTGCCACAAGTCCTTAAGCGGCATGTGTGTGTTCGTGCCAAAAATTAATTACGCTAGTATTAATTTTTTTTTTTAGTTTTAGCGTTAAAGTAACAAAATAATAATAATAAAACTCTTTACTAAAATTTTATGTTCGTTAAAAAAATCTCTCAATATTGGTTTACTACTCTCTTTTGTTTGGTATATATATATATTTTTCTTTATTTATTTATATTTTTGTTTTTGCAAGAAGTTGAATTTCGATTTTTGTTTGGGCGTTGTTCGAAAGGTCACATTTTCATTTCGTTTGTTTTTTTTTTGGTTTTTGATATTTAGCTTATAACCATTATAATTAGAAATATCTTCATTTATATTTAAATTAGTTGAGTCAAATGAAAAAAAATGGCGGTAGTGGCGTATTTCAAGCTTAAACGTTAAATTTATACTCGTAAACAAAAATGTACCGATTCGACCGTGCGTTTGTACCGTTTCGACCGTTTAGCGCACACGCTAGTAATTTTAAGCGACAATATCGTCTCTTTTTTGCGTTATATGCGTATAAGTTTTAATTAATACTAAATTACAACAACAATAATGCAAAAAATAATTTAGCATTTGCAAATGGTTTTTCGGTTTCGAAACCTTTTGGTTTTTCTCAAATTATCTTGCCGAATTCAGTATCAAGAATGTGAAAAAGAGCGTTTTGTGTGTAGAGCGTTTGGTAAAATAATGTTTTCGTACAAAAAAAAAATGCAATTATAATTTTTGTATTGCTTGTCTTTCTACTGGTTGCCAGTAAATCGGTTCGGTATGCGGTCCGTTCGTTTCTACTTAAATATTGTTGAATGGTGGTATGTAAGTATTATAGCCAATGGTTTTGATAAATTTCAATTTGGAATAACCTAAATGTAATTGTATTAAATAACTGTTCTTTTGTTCGATATTTACCAAATATAATTTAAATATAAATTTTTTAGTAGCGTAACAAAATGTGTGCAAAATTTTTTTATGTTATAATTTTGATAAAAACATATTGTCGTTTTACCTGCCTCTCACAGTTTTGCGTGTAATTTTGATAACAAGTGTTGTTTTTGCTGTCATTTTTGAAAGTTTTGATTTCTATTTCAAATTTAACCAAATATTGTTGCTCACATAGAGTTTCTTTTTGATGAGCAATGCATTGAAATTGCATGTGTTTTTTTTTGTACTTAATTTTCAGAAAATAAAAGTAAGTTTTTTTCTAAATTTTTCAAAATTTTTTTTTTCATTAATATTTTCAAGAAGTTTTTCCACTTTCCTTTAATAATTGTATTTTCTTCATAATTTCTATTGTTGCTATTTTTAATAATTTTTTCAGTTTGTTTTCTTCGTTTATGCTGGGCACACTGCCGCACTCTTTTTCCATTGTTTCTTGTTTCAAATGAACTGTTTTGAAGCTTTTTTCAATATAATTTGTTTTTTTGCTTAAGCGAGCATTTTTTTTATATGCTTTTTGTAAGCAAGCATATTTTGTAAAATTTTTTAATTTGCTTACTAATTCAAATTGCAATAAATATGAGATAAATAAATATGTAATAGCACAGCCATTTCCAAAAAACGTAGATCAACTTCTTGACAATAATATTAAATAATTTGTATGAGTATTTAAGTATGCATGTTTTAATTTTTAATTCACTGATTCGGGGTTGCTTTCTTTTCTCTAATTTATGTGTTGTCTGATTCAGTTTAGAGTGAAATTTTGAGCTTTTTTCTAAAATTTTGGAAGAAATACTTATGAAAATTGTTGTTGCTGGAATGTACATAAGTTCGTATACTGCGTGCGTTTGTGGTTAGACTCTGTGCTTTTTCTCTTAAACTGCACTCTTATTTTCTGTTGATTTAGCGAAGGAACAAAGCTTTGAATATAAAGAAACTTAGTTTTGAAATTCAGAAATTTTTTTGTTGCAAAACTTTTGTTACCCTTCTGGTATTATCTTAGTTTAAGACTATTTAGTTCTCTAATAATTCGTTTGTTTTAGGTCAAACACAAAAGTGAGGATCTGAACGATAGATCGTTAGCGATCAACATCTTTTAAAGACCAAGTCTGCATTTCATACATTCAAGATCTCAATACAGCTTAACAATAACTTTGTATGTGCCCGAAAATATGGAGAGACACTCTTATATGATCTAAAAGAGTATTCAGCAATGGACGATAAAATATTATATAGATATTGATTCCCTAAATGCTAACACAGCATATGGGAACTCAAAATGGTATATTCTTATATAATATGGTCTTACAAAGTATTGTAGTGAAGTAAATTGGCTTGCTCGATGGCGGAAAAAGTATTCAATAAAATCTTTTATGTATATAGAAACATCTAAAATTAATCTCAGTTGTATTGAGAAATATTTTGTGAAAATTTTTCACGTCACAGAAACCGAAAGCTTTTTACGTCACGCTTGATCAAAAGCTCAATCAAAAATGATTTCAATAAAAAGCTTTACTATTTATCAACACCTGGGTTTAATTCAACTACAAATAACTTCCGCTAAAAGCATTTATTGCAAGTTAATAATCAAAGCTCGACCAAAAGCTTTATCGAAGCAGATTCGAGTATTCATGATCAACAATGGGCTTTAATTAAACCACAAATAACTTGCGCTGAAAGCTTTTATGGCGATTGAATGGTGAAGTTTGACAGAAAACTCTACCGGAACAGATTCCAGTAGTTATTATCGATAATGAGTCTTTATTCAACCACAAATAACGTACGTTGAAAGCTTTTATTGCAAGTTAATAATGAAAAGTCGATTGAGAGCTCCGCCAAAACGGATTTATTTAGTAAACTCTACTCTAAGTGAGTGGTGAAAGCTCGACCTAAAGCTCTATCAAAACAGATTTGTATAAATAGTTATATTTTTTTATAGATAACCGTTCTTAGTCTAACCACAAATGCACTGCTGGTTAAATTTAGATATATTAATTTGTGTACTTTTTCTTTAAATTTTTTTTTATATTAAATTCATTTTGCCTTTCAATATTTTTCTCTACTCCGGCTATTATTTCGTTCGCTTACTTAAGATGCCAAATAACATTTACAACAACAACAATTTAAATTAATTTACGTATTGTATATATGTATGTTTATTGGATATTTAAAAGTTACACAACAACAACGTTGAGAAAATACATCGATAAAAGAAAATGAAGAAAGACATTTATATAGAAATGAAATAATAATAAATAAAACGTATACATACATAAGTACACCAAATGTTACATTATGTATACATACATATTTACGCATATACATATATACTTGCAAAAAATATGTATATATATAGCTATATAGTTTAAGAAATATACGAATCACACACACATATATATAGAGAGAATTCGAAAAAGTTTCATCGTTTGCAAAAAAATATATATTTTAACGCCTTTAAGCGTTGTTTTTTTTTTTTTTTTTTATTTTTGCACTTCTTTTAATTATTAGCAAAAAATGAACGTTAACGACATTTAAGAAATAGAGTACACATTTACCATTTACATAAATAAACAACAATTTATGTAAAAGCGTTCCACATTTAGATGACATTTATATAGATAATGAATTAATAAAAAATATTGAAAGTTCAAATAATAAATATTATTGTCTTTATAATTTTTTTTTTTTGGAAAAAAATGCCAAAGTATGTAATAAAGAAGTAATAGCATTTTAATTATATTTGAAAAAAAAATGTATATTAACACTTAGTTTTATTTGAGACACCGAAAGCACTGCTGCAATTTGGATATTTTATTTCGAAAATAATTTTTGGATTATTGATTATTTTGCCTTTTATTATTATTTTCATATTTATTTCGCGCTCCACTGTAGCGAGGACCCCTCTTGTTTTCTTTTCACAGTTGCATATTTAGTAGAAATTTTATATATAATATATATATATATATATATATATTTAAGTTTTCTAAATATATTAAAAATTGTCTAATGCATGAATTCATAGTTAGGCAAAAGCTAGGGATAATAAAAATGAATAAAATTTGTGCTTTGCTTTTTTTCAGTATATTTTTTTTTTAGTTTTAAGTTTTTCGGATGGGGGTAGGAGTATTGAATTGTTGCGCTATATTGCTTAGAAAGTATTTTTTTAAATAGTTTAGTTATTAAAATGAATTAAAACTGTAGACGAATGGGATTTTAGCAAAAATTATAAAAGAAATATATACATACATATATAATTTTTTAAAGTAATTTTTATAAGCATAATAATTTTATTTAATTATTATTATTTCAATTTATCTTAGTGACAACTGGGTGTATAAGCAGGCCAAGTAACTAAAATATTTTAACAGTAATTATTATTATTTATTGTTTTATTTATACATAGTAGCAAAGTTCAAAGGCAAGTATTGTAAAAATTATTAATTATATATAAAAATATCAAAATATGATTATTGTTATTGTGAAGCGATATTTGCATGCATTTGTCAAAACACTACTGTATACTCAAATATATATTAAGAAATTTTTAAATATACTTTTAAAATTTTGAAGTGTTTAGAGTTATAAAAATATTTTTGGAGTGACTTTAAAATTTTTATTAGATTTTATATACACTATGAATACTTTATAATTTTGTATATAACAAATTTTTATGGTAAAATATACACCCGTTCAAAGATATTATTAAAAGACGAGTATGAGCAACACTGATCATCAGATGGTCACTTATATAAGTGCAGCATGAATTTAAATCAAAACGACGTGAACATGTATTCAACAAAAGTGAAACCTTTACGGTATATACCGGTTATAGCACCCATATACACAAAAAAGTGATTATCGTTCCAGAGGTTAACTTTACAACTTATATATCATGTATTAACGCAGATAACTCTCTTAAGGTATAATGAGTATTTTTACTCCTAGCATAATGTGCTTTGATGCCAGCAATGATTCCTAATCCTTCACAGCCTTTATATACCCAATATATTGATTTATATTTTTCTAATAATGTAAGTTTTTTTTTACAAATATGTCTCATACCTTAATTCTTACAAATTTAGCCTTTCACTAATTGACTTTCCAATTTTTTTTAACAGTTTCTCGAAAAATAGATTATCACCCTAAAGAGTAACTACAAAAAATATAAAGTGAAACACAAAAAGTTATTCCAATACATAAAATTGAAAAACTTTGAGCTGAAATACTGAAAAGGTTGAAATTAGTACTAGTAAGAAAGTATTTAAAAAAGTCAAGATGCCGAACTGATATTGAGCTTAAAATTCCACGGGCCAGACCTCGATTCTCATGCCATTATTGTGTGCTCTAATATAGAGATTGGTTTTTGCACTTGGAAATCAATCTTAAAAGCGTTATTCGAATATTCGATTCAGATTAAGCGGAGCATAGTACAACGGTTATTCGAGAACGTGTCATATAGAAAATTATGTGTGTAAGAGTAATTTTTTCAGTGCAAAAGTTCGTGAGAGGATTATAACTTGGAGCTGATTCTCTCACACTGTGCAACATAATAAACAATTAACAGTTGTGACATCAGTTTTGTGGTATATTGGCACACGGTGAAAAAATTCTTCTTATAAGCATTTCAATAAATGAAAATAAAATAATAGAGATGTGAAGCATAAATTGTTTGAGATGGGAAAAGGATAATGAAGTATGGAATATGTAGCAAAAATAAGACAGATAAAAGACAGGTGAACCACTTTCATACTAAGCCAGTCAAACCGCTTAAAAGCCATATGTGAAGATGCAAGATTAAAAAAAGACCTACTATAATCCTTTTAGTACCTTCTGCATACAAAAAAAAAAGCAAAACTAGTTCAATGCGAGGCTAATGTGATTAGCTGGTTCGAAGCCAAAATTGTACGGACAAAACATTAAGAGAAAAACGCAATGCAGCAATGTGATATTCTGCTGATTCGGTCACTCAGTCAGTCAGCCAACTAGTCAAAAGGACGAGCAAAAATTTCGGTAATCTTGTATTTGCGCATAATGCAATTGCAAACGGCCGGAAATCAGGTCAGTGTGTGTCTGCTACAAAAAGGTGCAAATTCAAAAACGAAATTGGCGGGGTGAAGCGGCCGGACAGCATACGTGTGAGTAGGAGTAGATATAAAATATTAAATAATTGAAAAAAAATTCTATATGGAAATCCATTAAACTCACGACATTATTAAAAAAAAAATAAAAATAAAAAACTTTCTTTTTTTCATAGATATAGTGGAAAACATGAGTGCCAGTGATAGCAGTGCCAGTTCAATTAAAATCGAGCGTCAACATATGGCGGTAGATAAAAAGTTGTTATACAACAACAATAAAAAGCCGTTTATGCAAACATGTTGGCAAAATTGAATTTTCATTACCTAAAAATGTGTTATTGATGGCATGTTGATGTTGCAACATCTGTCGCGCATGACAGCGCATTGCGACATAAACAGAAAATGTCGCATAACCAACAAGTAAATGCGTGTGACACACAAACACATACACTTGAACCGATAATCGGGCACATATGTATGTATGTAGTGTATGTATATGGCTGTATACGGTATACATATGCATATGTTTGTGTTTATGTGTCGTCATAACTGCATCAGTGAAAATCAATAAAAATCATTTAAGTCATTACATGTGACCCATTCAGCGTCTGTGGAGTGTTGCATGTTGCCACCGGCAACAACACCTACACGCACGCGCACATACAAAAATTTATTATACTACTGCATTGCACGTGTAGTGTGTCGACAAAATGGCTAACTGCCAACATGAACAATTTCAATTTCATTGCGCAAACAGACACACAGACTAACGCATAGAAGCGGTAGCCCTTGTCGTGTATTTGGCAGAACGTTTATTGTTATGTACTGTAGATTTTTGCCAATGTTGTGCAAGATTAAATTCATAATTGACTTGGTGAAATATACTATTACTAATATATAATATGCTATTTCTAGAAAGCGAGGGTGGGTCTTTGTTAAAAAGTACTTTTCCATCATAGAGAAAAATAAATTTCGACCACACCTGAGCTGAATCTTTCTTACTTGCTCATATTGGTTGCTTAACATGCCATTGTGGCATTTCTGATATTGATTGAATAGAAACAAACTCATATGGAGTATCGGTTCTCACTTCGAAATCGTAGGCAAGTTTATGTGCTCGGGAGACAATATCCAAAGCATTATTCCGATATCTTATGTAAAATTTCACTTACCAGACGATTTAAACTTGATAAGCAAAAGATGAGAAGTAAAAATATTTTTCTCGAAAGAGCTCATCAGTAAGCTCGTGTGATCTTGAAGAGATTACAACCAAACTTAAATTCTTCCAAACAAAAAGGAACTCTCACATACTCGCTTGAATCGATTTCAACTGTTTATACTTTCAAACGTAATTTTTTTTTTACCAAAAAGCAAACCTAAAAGCAGTTAAATGGCGAATCGAACAGGACTATGTGCAAATATAAGCGACTAGTGTAGTCTTTAAGCTATCGCATAAATGAAGAGGCCGGCAAGCATTAGATCGACTTCGAATGGCTATGATATTCTTTTCTGGAACTTCGAATTTCAGAAATACGCTTGGAGGTTTGCCTTAAGCTGCTGAAGTACTTTTAATATTAGCCGGAAGTTGGGATCTAATAAAAGACCATTAAATGCTTTGCACTACAGCGATCAGTCGAGTAAAAAGAAAACTCATCTTCAGCATTTAAATTTTAAGTTGAAAGCTAAGTTAAGTTACGAAACGTAAACTTGCCGTAGCAATATAATTGAATTATCAACTTCCACAACGATTTTCAGCGCAGAGGGAGCGAATGCTGAAAAATAATTAAGAAATTCCATTGGATAGAGGTAGTATCGTTTCGATCTAGAAATGTGTTTAAGGATCGGTAAATAATTTATGGTCGCAAAGTGCAAATCTTTTTAAGATGGCCTAGTGGAGTTACGAGTTCGATTAATTACCTTAATTAATATTCGCCTAATATAGCGCAATGCTCGAAAATTCTCACATTTAATAGGGATCGTTCTCATAAGTACAGCATGAGAACTTCTATGCCTCCTTTTTGAAGCAACTCCTTTTCATTTTTGATGCATGAACTTACTTTAGCTGCTTTAGTAAGTCAGTTTCAAATAAATTCTACTTAACAAAAGTGCTCATATAATAAAGCTGCTAGCCTTCCCTTTATAGCTGTCTTCGTATTGCTAATATTTTGAATCTATTTTCAGCGGACAGTTCTTGAAAGTTTCTTAGAGTGCTCAAAGGTTCTTCTAACTTGAATAAAATTTAATAAACTTCTTTAAACAATACTTTTACTCAGTTTATGAGAGGCCTTTTGAAGCCAAGTACCACATCCCAAGTCTTCCAGTTTTGGCCAAAATGAAAATAACACTGCGTACAACAACAAAAATTACTTCTCCAGTTCTTATCCTTGCAATCATCGGTTGATCAAGTCATCAGAATTATGCAAATATTACAAAAACCAACACAAATCATTGACAGCCTAAAGGTCAAATGGAAATTGAACTCAAACCGGTGACAAAATCCAACAGTCACAGAGGAATGTGACGGAGGAGGGTTAAAGAGCAGCGCAAAAGCCACAATAACTGTATCTATTACTGGCAAAACATTAAGATAAAAAAATACACACACAAATACACATCGACATGAAGCTCAACAGTTGCCACCGAAGCTAAGAATATTGCACAACAACTTCGATGAAAGAGTTTTGAAAAAAAAAAACAACAAAAAAATTAGAATCCAAATGGTCTATATTTACACTGACCACACAGTTGGAAGATTAGACGGAGGTTGTGAGAGTATGAGTAACAAACTTCATCAAAAATCATGCTGTGGCATGCCACATACAAACATATGGCATACAGGGAGCCACAGACAGCGCTGAGTGACTGACCAAATGGTAGCATATCAACGTTTGGGGTAAGCTCTGCAGTGCCACACTACTCTCATTTTATTTTAGAGCTAGCGGCAACGGTTGGGCACATATATAGAGTCAGAGGTACGAGTATGTATGTACATAAGTGTGTGAAATCTAAATAGATTCGAAATGCAATCGTATGAATATGTTGCACGAAAACTAGAAACATGTATAGAAATATCAAAATGTGTGTTCATGGTACTCAAGTAGCCACGTTCAACATGCCACATGCCACATATCACACTTCACTCGTTCGTCTGCGGATTTTGCACTAGTAAATGCCACACACTCCTTGTTGCAATATTTAAACATTTTTTTGAGGGGTGCAACCAACTGGCATCAATATGCGTTGCAAGGAGCACAGAAAAAATATAGCAGAATTTTTTCCACTCATTTCACTTTCCAACCGAAATGTAGTTAATGGGAGTAATGCGCTTAGACAGTTAGCTGGAAGCCGCATCTTTTTTCGAACATTTCGTGGTGATTTTTTGCTTGCGTTTTGCTTGCCACATGATAGTCATCAACAGCGTATCGTTTGGCTTGTGCCTAGTTGCGCAAACGTGGCATGTGGCATGTGGCACGCGTAGTTGTGAAAGCATTTGACCGCAAAACTGCGATTTCCATGAACTTTCCGGCGATTTTTCTTCGCCAAAATTTTTTCTCGCAGACTTTTTGAGTTTGGATTTGGTGACCTTCTTTCTCTTATTTTGTGCGCCTGTCATTTTTCCAATTCGGTTCTTAATAGGCTGTGTGTCGCAGTGTGGTAGCCAACTGTGAAGTTGCCCCGCAGGCGTTGGTTTATTGAATTTTATTGACTATCGTTTGTAGTTATTGAGTTCAATTTGCCAATCGGTGTAGCATGCCACTAGCGACGCTGGGATTTATTTGCAAGGAAATTGAAGAATTCTGACTCGTGTGATTTGTCTTGTGGTTGAATGTGTACTTAATGAAGGTATTTCTAAAATAAACTAAATTTGGAATTATTTGAAATACCAAAAACATAAGAAAATACACAAATCTAATTTTTCAAAAATATTTGAAAAAACTTTTTTTGTTCGAAATAATGTAATTTGATTTCGAAATCAAATATTTTTTTATAAAATTCTGAATTATTTATTAAATATATAATTTCAAAATCTAATATAGTAGGGGATAGACTCATTGGAAGAGTTTCCAGAAATAGGGAAAGCTTGAAGGTTCTTCAAATATAAAAGATAAGAGTTTGAAAATAAAAACGATATATGAGCACAAATCGCTTAATAATTGGGTTATAGATACATCGAGTTCTTTTTTTTCAGATGCAGACCTAAACAAAGTTTACTCCCAGCACAGTAGATTCTACGTAACCAGAACGGACGCGCATTTTTATCCGAGCCAGAACTGCCGGCTCAGCAGCAGTCCTCAAATTTATTTGGGAAATGTTTTCTGCCACTACAACAACAAAAAAAAACACAGCAAAAATAAGATATATTAAGCAAGTGGAAACTTGAACGATTTTAAGTATAGGAAATTATTAAAAGCGCTATATATTATATATCAACACCAACAATCTAATATATGTAAATCTAATGACAGCGTAATGATTATAAGCATATTATACTATAAAAGTATGGTTTCGAGACAAAAATTTAGTTTTGCCTACTCTGTATACATATCAATATATAGACTTATCGAAAACTTGTACATACCATACAGTGGGGGAACGAGTTTTGTTTTCATATAGCTGAAAACTTGAATATTTGCGTGACAAAGACAAAAAGTTTATTTCAAGAAGAAGAAGAACTATAGCTTATAGCCGCAATACAAAATGATCGGTCAAAATCAAGTCTTTGTATGGAGAACTCTTTTATTTGACTTTTATCTTTACGAAATTTTGCCTAGATTATTGTCAAACGCCGTGAAGCAATTTCTAAATATTATATATGGTTCAGATCAGAGAACTATAGCATATAGCTGCCATACAAACTGATCGGTCAAAATCAAGATAGAGTTCTTTTTATACTATTGTATACTATAAGAAATGCACCTGTGAAGGGTATTATAACTTTGTTGCAGCCGAATTAAACGTTTGTTCTTGTTACTGTTTTTTAACATTCTGGCTGTTTCACAAAATTACCCTGTTAATATGAGGCAGACACTTGGAAATCTTGTCACTGAATTCCTTATTATAAAAAATTGTTTTCATTCTAATTCATATATTTTATGATTAAAATTAATTGTGCGACCAGACATTTGCTCATTTATAAAGAATTTACATCAACATTTTCTTTAGATATTAAGATTACGTATACGCCATGCCACCTAGTCAGTTTTTTGACTCCCACTATATAAGTAGCGCAATTAAAGTTCAATTTTTTTTCAGCTTGTTGTTTGAACCTTATACAAACAAAAATTTACTTCATTGTGCCTTTAAGGCCATTCGAATTTAAACGAAGCTCATACGAATTATTCAAATTCAAATGCTTCGTAAGCATCATCAATGTCAAAAACCTCAAGCAGACGACAACAAAGCGAAAAAATACACAGAAATTGTGTAAACATCCTGTATAATGGAATTTAACAAAAAAAACAAAAAAAAAGAGAAAAGTGTCCAAAGAAAAGCAGCAAATAAGGCAAAGTCAGCAGAAGAGGGAAGAGCAAAAAAAGGTAAAATGTCAAAGATTTCACTACACGAAGAAAAAGCGGCGACAAGCAAAGATTTTCATTGTTGTAAAGTATTTGTTATTGTTGTAGCGTAGAGGAAAATTAGGCAAGCTACTGTGTTGAACATGAGCAGCCGAAACGCAAGTGACACGCAAGCAAACACACACACACACCGAAAAAGAGACGACACACAACCAACAAAGCTGTAAGAAGCCAATGTACAAGTTCAATGCACGTCCAACGAGTGCAGTGAACCTCGCACACACGCACACTAAACGCACACACAAGTTCGCTGGCAGGCAGTGAGTCAGGCAATTACGGCAAAGGACACTTACGCAAACATTTGCACAAAATTGCTAGCATATCAACAGGCGCACGTAGCAATCAGCCGGTAAAAATGGCAAATGCGGACGGACTGCGAGCGACAAGCGGAGTATTATGGACATTATGGCATAGCCGAAATTAAACAAATGCGCAGGCAAGTGTGTTTGTGTGTGGGTTTTTATGTGTGTGTATCCATTTCGTTTGCAATGAACTTTCTATTTGCCCAAAAGATCCTACGCAAAAGCGTCTCAGACTCTACACATGCAGCGCTTTTTATGACAGCGGCAGCATGCGCGGTCCAATAGCCAAAAATAAGCCGCTTGCATGTAGTGAAGTGAATGCACGCAGTTGCTAAAATTACCGTTTTTCTCATTTAAAAAGGATTTTTCGCCCTTTCGGCGTGTGTACGCGTTGTCTCATTACTTAGATTTGTGCCTCAGAGTGCAGTAATTTGATATGCGTTTGTTGACATTGCAGCGTAACGCAGCCGCTGCCGCCAATGTTCGGCCGCTGTCGACGCTGCCGAAAATCCTTCGATTTCATCTCAATTTTCTTTGAGTGCCCTGCCCTGCTGCTTACTGTCACACGCATTACGGTTTGTGCGTGTGTGCAGCTAGCCGACTTCAATTGCTTATTTGTCTGCCGCGCTCTGGGTATTAAGTAGCCAGAGTAATGCACCAGTAATAATCAGTTATCGATCCGTGTGCGTCTGGGCGCTGCCGGTTGTGTCTTCATAAGTTTCTTTATTTTTAATTTTTTTTGTGCTTTTGGTTTTCTTATGATGCTATATATATATATATACTTGTATATATGCGTATGTATATGTGTGTACTTGTATGTGCTTATATATTACGCTTTTGGCCTTTTGCGTGAGTTCATTTTATAACTTGCACCCGCGAACTCCATCAACAGCTATGCTATATATGTAAGTAGTTTATGGAGACTCTCAAATATGTATATATATATATAAACACACGCACACACACACATACATAAATACCAATATTCACTTATATATGTATGTATATATGTTTGTAAATGTCTGTTTAACTTCAAAGTCTTTCAATTACTTTTAGTTTTTTTTTTTTTGTCGACAGCTTCCTTTTTCGGCTTAAACTGATTTTCCTTGACACATTGCTTTTCTTGTTGTTTTAGTTTTTGCACAACCTTTGCCGAAGTCTTCTTTGCTGGATTATCAGTCGAAATTTTTGAAAATTTCTTCAGCTTCAAGGATGCATTACGCCATTGAAGACACACACTATTCAATTTTTGTTGCTGTTTTGCAGTTTCACTTTTATTTTCTACGCATGTAGACAGGTGTCTGTGAGATTGTAGCTTGCCTTGATTAATTTTTAGCCGACAATTTACTTGTTGACTTTTTCTACTGTAGCTTAATTGAATTACTTATCGATTAGTCGTGACAGAAATGAAAAACGAAACGAAGTGCGCAGTAGATAGTGACAAGATTATGAGCGATTGCTCGTGGAATTATTAAAGGGTTGGAGTTTGAAATTGCATTATGGATTAAAAAATATTAAAAAGATGATTTTTCGTTCACAAATTCAAAAAGTTTGGAAGTGAGTATGCATAATGAATACCAAATAAGTGATTATTAATTAATCTTTGTAAGACTGGCAATCGTTACCTTTTGCAGAAGCAGGAAAACATTTTAGCGCCTAAAGGATAAGTTATGCATTATTAGCTTAATGATTTTCAGTCCTTATTTTGTTTTGGAAAATTTACGGGTCCCACTTGAAATGTGGTATATTTAGTATTGTATTTGATACCAATATATTTTCTAAATTTCACTCTAAGGAATTAATTGACTAGTTTCGAGTGCAGTAAGAAAAAAAATTTTTATAAATATTTTTGTTTCTGTTTTCAAAATTAAGAATTTTTAAGATTACGGAATTCTAAAACGATTGAATTCGAAACTAAAATTAGTGAACCAAAACTTCATAGTCAAGAATTAATTAAGTTTTTTGTATAAAGATCCTCGAAGCAGAATTGCTTATGATTAAATCAATAAATCATAAAATATTCGATTACAACTTGAAAGTCAAAAGTCATAAGTCAAATGAGTTATTCCATGGATGGTAAAATTGTTGATTATTGTTATCAATTCTAATGACTTTGACTTATTAGTAAATTATGAGTAAAAAATAAAGAAGAAGTAATGAATCATAAATATATAAATAAAAAGAATAATGAACTTCGACTAAATAGTCGATTATGAATTATTCATAAGCTTGAGTCAAGAATTATTTAAGTTTACTAAATAACGATCTTCGAAAAATTATTATTTATGATAAAATTTGAATCGATTATGAAATGAAAGTCAGAAGTTATAAGTCAGATGAATTATGAGTTTTCTGTTAGTAAATTGTGATCATTATTTATAAATTTTTTAACTATGACTACAAGTCATATCGTTTAAATATTAAAAATTAAATATTTAAAAAAAAAAATAAATTACAGATAATTTATCAACTATAAATAATTAATTAGGACTGTAGATTGATTAATTTCAAATTGTGATTAAATGAGTATGCACTAATAGTCATAAATTGCAAATTGTGAGCTTGTATACAGGAGAAGTGAGGTAAAATGGTATTTAAAAAAGTGGAATTATTCCGTAAAATATTCATATATTATTATTTTAAGAGCATCAAGAGACTGTTTTTTATTGTTTGTCTTTATCAAAAGTTTTGGTGACGCTATTGTATAATTTATCTTCTTTTTTAAACCAAAAAAAGATGTTGCGTACCTCTTAAAACTAAACCGAAATAAAAAAATTAAATTACTCAGACCACAGAAACAGCAGTACTATTTTTTTTTTAACAAAACTTCATAAAAAGAGCGAACATAGTACCACAGCGCCATCTAATATATGCATTAAGTAAACATTTTGGAGCCCATTTTGACGACGATAATAAAGATGTGTATTAAAATATAGCTCTTTATTTGTCTGTCCGTGTCAGAATTGATCAGTATACGCAAAAACTCTTCTAAAATATTTTTAAAGACTTGTAAGCATTGGTACCGTTTAGGTATTTCAAAAGCCGAGATTTGAAATTTAACTATTAATTACAGTGTTTTGACTAAAAAATGCTGCTTATTTTAAATACCTTTCACTTCATTACTCACAATGCCACTATTTACCAACATCGTAAATAAAGCTTTTTGATGGTTTTTATAAATGCACCGTAAAGCGTAAATTTTACTACCTCCTTTGCCCTACGCCCACTCCACCGCAATTATCTCTTAACAAGTAATGCTTTGTGTTGCAAAAAATTTTGATTCGGTGTCTACTAGACTAGATAAATTGTTAGACGCATTAAGTAACAACAGGCAGACAGCGCTAGAGATGCTAGAAATTAATAGTTCACAAAATAGAAAGTAATCGGTTATCACATATGGTATGTATAGGATATAAGTTAAACAGAGCAATAGTGAGACTTTCAAAGGAACTTTCCTCTCTAAATAAATTCAACTCTAAATGTAGAGTCTGAACTGATGTTTTTTATTTAAAGTGAAAAAGAATAAAATATTGATACACGCAGCCATACAAAACCGATTACCCAGTTACTTACACGCAAATTTAAAAATCTCTATTTGTACTCACGCCTATGCGTTCGCCAGCTACGCGCAGCGAAAATCCGAAAATACAATAAAAACAACAGCATATTAAACTTGAGCAAATCCGAAAATAAACAAAGAAAAAATTTGAAATTTTTTAATTCTTTCTCCTTTTTTGTACGCAACGAAACGGGAGAGTGAGAGAATGGTGGCGCACGTCATTATGCTACGGTGTATGCGAACGCACCATGAAAGGCACACAGCAGCGCAATGTTGCAGCACAGCCACTGCACCCTCTCTAATCACACACACACACACACACACACTCCCTCAGCGACCAGAAGACACTGACTGCGCTGTGCGTTACTTGAAAAAATTCATTGCCTGCCTGCAGGCGCACTTTTTTGTGAATTTGCCGCTTTCCACTTGTTTTTGTACTTGTTGTTGCTGTTGCTGTTGCAATTTTTCAATGCCAATGCAAAGGTAACACACATTGCCAGGGCCACCATTGCCATTGCCAATGCGGCGTGGCGGCTGATGCTGCAGCTGCATTGCAATGTTTTAGCACTTGGCGTTGCATACTTTGTGGCGTTGCGTTGCGCTTTTTTGTGGTCGCTTTTTATTTGCGTTGCTTTGCGTTCTTTGTTTTTGCGCTTGGCGCATTCATAAGTTTTTTATTTATTTTACTATGCGCTTATTTTTTGAATTTTTTGTTTGCGCGCTGCATTGTGAGCGAGTGCGAGTGGGCTTTTATTATTAATTCTTTTTTATTTATTTTTGCCAAGCTATCCATTTTACTCATACCTGTACAGGCATAGCGTCATTGTAGCTGTTTTAATGTTTACTTCCCTTATGCTTTTCCCTTTCATTTGTTCCGTTTCGTTTCATTCGGTTTCGGTTGCTTCACCTCGCTGCTGTTCATATACATATGTGTATGTGTGTATGCGCGTTTTTGCGTTTTGTATGCAACAGATTTTTTATCACTTGATTTTTGTGGCATTTTATTTACTTTTTATGATTATATCACAGCGTTTCCTTTCTTTTTTTTTGGATGTACACTGCACTCTCTCTCTCTGCATGTATATGCATGTGCGTGTGTTTGTTCAGCAGACCGTTGTATTGGTGTGCGTGGCAGGCTATCAGAGATTGCAACGCACCGTTAGATGCAGCCAACGTTTAAAGAACTAATTAAAATAAACGTCAAAGCAATCGGCGCGCAACGTTGCCCGGTGCATAGTGGCTACAGACAGGCGCGCCTAAATGCACACAACCAAATATATAATAAACTCCACGGCAATGCATGCGTGTAGTGGTTACACCTATGTTTTATGATTTTTTTTTTTGCATATTTTGGCAGCAACTTTTTGTGGCGCATACAATTCTGCCACACACACACACACATACATATCTAGATGTACTATTATGTGTGTGTAGAGGTGCGTTCTTTATGACGAGCGCCAGACAGCTGCACTCGAACGCATCATTTCGCAGATTTTTTCTCAATTTCAAATATGTAAAACGCCTTTTTTGTTATTTATATTTTGTGATTTATTTATTTTATATATTTTTTTATTATTTGCGACTTATTGGTGTTGGCGTTGTGCTGCGTCTGCCTGAAGCGCGGATGTTATGTGTGTGAGTGTGAGTGTAATGTTCGGCGCTCCTTCGCTTTCAATGCTCATTAGTATTTTTTGTGCATTCTATGGAAATCGGTTAAATCTGGAAGATAGATAACGCAGTAGGGGTAAAAGGTCTTTCAGTCAAGCGATTCTTTTGAGACCGCACATACGTACACATCTAACATCTAACATCGATTAGGCAGTTTGTGTACTTTAAAATATTTCTACTATCTATTTTAAATCCAAAACATAAGAAACTGTTTGCCCAAATAATTTTCAGTATTCTTTTTATGAAAGTTTAAGAATCATAGTTGAAATAAGATACACACATATAATATGGTACTGAGACGTTTCTAAATTTCGCTCGACCGCATAAAATGACTAGCTTCTAAGCTTAACGAAGAACTGAAGACAGTAAGTAGAAAAAATATTTTAATTTCTTTCAAATCTTCATATTTAATATATTTAAAAAAGTTATCAGAGAAACGGCAAAAAATAGCAGGAAAAAATATATATTCAACAATATTTAAAAAAAAAAATTTTTTTGACTCCAGTTCCGAAAAGATTTCGAGACAACTACTTACTTCGTACATTTTCTCATTAAGCTTCTGATTGTGTATGTAGGTAAAATTTTTTCGGATTTTTGTGTTTTAAAATCTTGATTCTACAATAAATTATCACTCGGACTTGCAGTTTGAACATTCTATGAAAAAATCGATGTTAAAAGTTCGTAAAACACTTGAATCCTCTTAATATTTTACGATCCCGAAATTTCGTTACTCCAAAAAAGAGTTCGTAAAACACTTGAATACAATCAATAATTTAGAATATCGAAATTTCGGGGCTCCCACATATTTTTCCGGATTGCTGTCCCTGTTGAACCCCTACTGTTTTTATAACTATGTGCATATTCAACATTAAAATAAAATACCTTTGTTACTAAAAAAACTACTTTGCGCCCTAATATATGCAACGCGGTGCCAACTTTCTATACACACTTGCAAACGTATATGAAAACGCACTTACACATACAAGCACACGTACGTAATTCTATGAAATGCGAATTTCTATGAATTTGTATATTTTCTGCGGCTAGGGGAATATAAGCAGATGATGAAAAATTTCACAACTTGCAACATGTCACCAAATTTCATATGGCAACGTGAGGAGATGACACCGCGTACGCCTAACAGCCAGCGGGCAAAACACAGTCGAAACAATGCTGGCAAGCAGAGCAGTGGAGTATGGGTGCCAACAAATGACACAAAGGGGATGAGCTATTATGACTTTTCTTTCCTTTGGTTTTTTTATGCCGTTATTTTGTGCTTTTTTCGTGCACTAACGGCGTAAGTACACATTTAATATGTACAGGCTTGCAGTTGTGTGCGTGCGAATGGCAGCACGGTGGACAGGACATTGCCAGCACTTCACGCAAAATTAAAAACAAAAATTAAAATGTGAAAAGTGAGCGAAATGTTGCACTGTCTCATTTTAATTTTAAAAATATTGAAAAACGTTATTTTGAACTTTTTTCACCGGCTACACGCTTT